TTAACTATACAATAAAGTCAACATTAGATTTGAGAACTTTCTCCAGTTCGTACCTGTTTTGTTGTAGATTCAGAGGAGCGGGTGCAATTGTGCTCAAAAGAGGGCGGTCGCCAGGGGGGTGACCTTTGTTTTCTCTATAATCGCCAGAGTGCAGAAAGAGGTCATCTTCACTTCCGCGAAATAAAACTCCTATGCTCAACAAAGAAAAACAAATTGATTGGGTTGAAAAGTTACATTATACTCACCGCATTATGATCTTTCATTATGTGTCAAAATTAAATAGATTCAAACGCGTTTCCGAAAAAACAAGATATTGCACTTCATAGAATGAATGATTCGAATCGTGTGAAAACAAGAAAAAATTTGATTGGCATATGAGAAAACAAATAGCCATTATTTTTCATCACTTGAATTTGAGATACCTTGTGAAAAAACCATATAAAAATAGCTACAAAATATGTTCTAATTTTTAAAAAGCTAAGGGTGTTAAGAGCTTCGCCCAAAAAATAATTAAAAATAACTGAAAAGGTATTTATTTAAATTGGTTCGGTTTCTGAATTCTTAATTTATAAAAAAACTCTTTTGACTGTCTATTTGATATCTAAGGGGCTCAGACGTTTAACATTGCCCAAAATTATGCTAAGAAGCTCCCTTACTCTGACATTCATTTTCGGGTAGCTGCCTGACTTTATATTCACTTCCATTGGGCGCATGCAACTCCAGGAACTGGACGCTTTCGTATCAGTCGAACACTTGACAGCAGTCAGCTGCTGATTGGTTATTTTTCTTTTCTGTGGAATACAAACCACTAAAGGCCACTGCGGGTCATAGATCTGCACGTTTGTGAGTTCGATCACGTTGCTCATCAGCTGTTCTCCAGGTTCCAGAAACTTTTCAGCGAGGAAGTTCTTCTTGAGGCAGGATACTTTGACTCGTTTGATTATTTGGGGAGGTCCTTTTAGCAGGCATAGAAGGGTAGTATTTAATCTCACGGGAACCCTAAATATTCTCTATTAAATATGTTTCGTATGGGTGTCTCTTACAGGCAAATAAAAACTTATATAATTTATAGTCAAAAAGTTAACATAAAAAAATTCTGCTATTAACTTGATAAATGATATGAACTTTCTTTCAAAAATCATTTTCTTCAAAAAAATCCAACTTAAATAAGCCACAGTTCCTTCCTACTACTCTTTCACTGATGATCGGAACATTACTACCCACATGAAAATGACCGCCGTTTTTGTCGTGAAATAAATGCTTTGTCGCGGTAATGAATAGACAGTCCAAACTTCTCAGTGTAAGGTCTACCCCGCTTTGTTAATATTTTTTGACATCCGTTTTCGGGACCAGCCCTAAACATGTCTAAGACGCCTTTGGCGCCGGTATATACTAATTTTGAAGGGGTGCGCGGGCCGAAAAAAAAAACTAGTGATTTTTGGTCAAAATTTTCCAAAAACAGCATTTTTCTTTTTCGCAGGACATTATTCCAAAGTCTTAAGATTTTTCTGGGCGCACTCAAGAATCAAATTAGTCGACCTAGAAAAAAGGTCACAATTATTGAAATTTAAAAAATCCAAGAACCCCTACCCCCACACCCTCTACAAAAAATTCTAGATCCGCTCCTGATTCTATTCTTTTTTTTTCACTTCAACCTATGATCGAGGTCCTCAGAAACACATCACAGATGACGTCACAATTCTTTGTTCATCAATTCCACAGCCATACCTGATGACTTCCCAGTGTGTTGTGGGGTTGAACTCTTCCAACCTATCAGTGGCTTCTTTGACCATATCCAAATTAGCAGCTATTTTCTTTTCTTCATTCTCAATATCACACAGAATCTGCTGGCCTTTTCGCAGTTCTTTCTCGGCTGACTGGTAGAACTGTTCTCGCTCGTTCCGAGGAGCTCGTCTCAAAGCGCTGTTTGCAATCTCCAGACGTTGTTTCACAGTAAGCGCGTAGTCACGTTTCTCAGCTGCTCTGAAATTGCAAAGAAAAAGGTTTAAATAAATTGAATCCACCAAGCCTTTTGTGAGTCAAAGGATAAGCTTTCCTTATTTAGTATTCTAGGAAAATTTTGCCGATGACCAAGTCGTTGTTGATACAAGGAGAGAAAATTTAAAAGATACAAGGGAGTCATTGGTTATACTACACGACAAAAACTATTTTAAAGAATTTTGAGCTCAAAATATAAAAGTATATCATGAAACCGTTTTGTGATTGAATTGTGAATCGAAAGTATTTTAGCCCAAGGTTCATCTTACTTGAGTAAATAACCTTATTTGAGCCGTCAAATGCAGGAAAAAATAAATTTTGATGCCATCTAAAAAAACTGTTTTTGTCTGTTCTTTTTTGTTTTTAGTGTTAAATAATAATTTTGCTTAGAGACCTGTCGGTAGCCGACTCTAAACTGCGGATTTTCTTCTCCGCCTCTCGTATTTTGTCCTGTGCATCCGAATACTTTCTCCAGGGATAGTTGTCCAGCCTCTCCTTCGCCTCTTCTCTCACGTGCTGACAATCTGCTCTTAAAGTGTCCATGCCTGATGCTCGTCTCGCGAGGATCTTCGCGTTGTCACGACACTCATTCGTAAGTTCGAGGATCGTGTCGCCATCTAATTAGAAATGACATCAAAAATAGCCAGTTGATGTCTAGGTGAAATAATAACTTCAAAAATTTGAAGAAAAAGCATTGAAATTTTTTTGAATCTTTTTCATATTCTTTTTTTGAAAAAAGGAAATTTTTTGTCTTTCTGTATAAATGGATTTAAATTAGGCTTCCCGAAGATGAATGGCATAAGCTCGCACCAATTTTTGCCGACAGTAACACACTGAGAGAATTTTTCGAATATGTACAAAATGTTGAATTATCTTATCTAATACTGCATGGGTAAAAAATCTACTTTAGCTATAAAAACTTTAATTTAACAAGCATTGGACGCTAACACATTTTACATTATTGTTCCGACTTTCGATACGAAAGTAACGGAATATTTGTGCTCGGGGTGGGTTTTTTTTTTCTTCAGACAAATTTCGACTTTTTAACTAGCCATTTTTGACGGAATTTTTTTATATCATTCAAAAGGTATTGTTGTCCTGAGCTTAAATTTGAAAAGATATTTTACCTGTGATCATTTTTCGTAAAGTTATGAGGGTTTAAAGTTTGCTATTTTGGCCATTTTGACTAATTTGGGACAAATAACGCGCGATGTAATTCGCGCTATTAACGCGTAAGCGGAGATTTAATCCGTCTTATAAATCGTTCCAAATTGGTTGAACGAAGCTTATTTGTCATAATTGATTTGTTACTAGGAGCGAAATCTTTTCTTTTGTACTTTATATGGCGTGTGGGGGGATGAATTTCATAAATTTCATAAAAAATTTCAAATTTTAGAAAAAAAAATTTCGTTTTATTTTATTTCATTTAACTTTTTTTTATGTTATTACTGCTGCTCCATAAACCTTAAAAAGCAGTCAGAACATTCAGGGCTTCGCCCTGATACGAGCAGTCTTGTTGTTCCGACTTTCGATTTGAAAGTAACGGAATATTTGTGCTCGGGGTGGGTTTTTTTTTCTTCAGACAAATTTCGACTTTTTAACTAGCCAATTTTGATGGAATTTTTTTATATCATTCAAAAGGTATTGTTGTCCTGAGCTCAAATTTGAAAAAATATTTCACCTGTGATCATTTTTCGTAAAGTTATGGGGGTTTAAAGATTGCCATTTTGGCCAATTTGGGACAATTAACGCGCGTAATATTTCGCGCTATTAACGCGTAAGCGGAGAGTTAATCCGTCTTAAAATCGTTCCAAATTGGTTGAAAGAAGCTTATTTGCCATAATTGATTTGTTACAGTGAGCTAAATCTATCTTTTTGTATTTTAAATAGCGTGTGGGGGGATGATTTTTCATAAAAATTTTCAAAACTTTTTTTTTAAATTTTATTACATTTTTTTTAAATATTATTACTGCTCCATAAAACCTTAAAAGGCAGTCGGAACATTCAGGGCTTCGCCCTGATACGAGCAGTCTTGTTTTCTTTTAAAAACATTTGTTGAGAACAAATCTAGGTTTGTATTTGACCTGGGACGCCCTACTCTGCATTAGCAGCATCGTAGTCTTATATATGCAAAGTAGATAAGTTATTTTTGACTTTACCTAATTTGTTCGCCTTCAAATCGAAAACAGCAGATATTTCGGGAGTTATTGCGCGGATTTTGTCATTTGCGTCACTTGTACTTTTTGATGCCTGTTTGAGCAGCCGGGTGATTGACATGGACTTCGGATCAGTGTCTGAGATTTCGGTGGCGATGTCCGACAACTGCGTTTTGCAATCATCTGAAAAAACCTCAATAACTTTAATGAAAAAAAAAACTGAGTTTTCATTTTTCATTTTTCGTTTTTTATTTTAAATCAGAAGACCCGGTAAATCGTTACACCAAGCTATATGAGCAGATATTGATAGGTGTCATAATTTGACGATACTTTTAAAGATGTCAAAGATGTCAAACTTTTTTCAAAAAAAAAGATTAATTATATAAAAAATTATATATTAACAATTGAAATCAGCTCACCATTTACTGAAGATGATGACTCGTATTCTTTCAAAATGGAGTGAACAACTTCGAAAATATCTCTAGTAACCTCCAAAAACGGCTCAAGCACGCTTAGACATCTCAAGAACTCCTGGGCGAACTCCTCACAGAACCCGACAAGTTCCCTCGACGTTGTCAAACTCGGATTCTCTCTTCGAATACCGGCTCGGGTTTTGCTCAGAAGTTGCTTGATTTGTTTTAGTTGTTTTGACATTCGAGTCGCGTTTAGCAAGGTCGAATCGAGTCCTGCAGTCGAGACTGGTCGACTAGTCGATGTGTGATTGTGATCTATGTTGGAAATATCGTTTGATGAAAAACTGTGGGAGAACATTTTTAGTTCACTGGTATTAAGAAAAGCAATATGTTTGACCACAAAACTTGAATAAAAATATCTATTGGCTTTCAATATCATAAAACCATTACAACAAATTCAAACTCAAATTGCATTTTGAGACCTCAGTACTCTTTCTTAAGTGAAGCTTACACAATTCAATTGCTGACGACTTGCAAATAAAAAATATTAATGCAGAGTCCAACAAAAACACCAGGTCTTATCTGGCATCTAAAATTGACATGACGTACAAATCGGCGCTTATTACTCATTTTTATTACAAAACAAGGACTTGAAAGTTAATGATTCGTTGTAAGTAAGTTCGATACACTTAAAATCTGGCCGTAAGGTTTGGATTTTACCACCTGTTTTTGGTTTTAGTGGCAACTGAATTAGTCATCAATTTACTGCTAAAAATTATCGTTAAACAAGTTGCAAAGTCTTAACTCCCAGTCCGAATTTTTGTAAAGCAGAGTTGGAAGAGGAAACGTTTTTTGTACAACTGTATCAATTATTGTGTCTTGTCACGTCTGAGCTCAGTCAAAGAACACAGAAGTTTTTTTTTAGCTTGACCAGATTGGTTTCAAAAAAATGATGAATTTTTCTCACATTTTGTCGTTTTCTCTGCGACTATTAAAATATAGCATTTGAAAAAGTACATTTAAAAACTTTGACATATGCTAGATGAAACTATTTGGAAGGAGCTAGATGGATCAAAATTTGAGAACCCGATGAGCTTGAATTACTCTTTATGCGCCAAAATTGGCAAACAAAACAAATGAAGGAGTTTCTAGGTCCGGCATTGAAAGAATTTCGACCGATTTATGAGTGATTTCGCACTGATGATCGAAATAAACCGGTTAAAAAAATGGTTCCAGAAAAAATGAAAAAATGAATGCTACAATTCATAAAAAGGATGCCGTTACCATCTATTCTTAGTAAAAGATGCTGGGTTATCTCTAACGTTTTTCCAGCTTTCTAGACTGAGCACTGAACACCTTTGATTTATTTGACGTCAAAACAGATATGAAGTTTTTTGACGCTTTGCCAAGTTAGACTTTCAAAAAATTTGTCTGTCTTTTTCCTTGGCTTGAAGGGTAAGTCGACTTATCAGCTTCCCAGCGAACCAATTTGAGACCATAAATTCAGGTTTCTGAGTTTGTTAACGAGATTTTTTGAAGCAAGAACACATTTGAAACTATTTATTCGTCATACAATTGTTTTATGAATACACAAAACTCATGACAAAAACTTTCGCTCAGACAAAAAGTTTCGCTCCGAATTCTAGTTTTTCATTCAGATCTTTTTAGCACACCACGAAGGTTACTTTTTTTGTGTTTTTTTCAAATTATGGTCGGAAATTTCTGTGCCATTTGCTCAATAGCCGGCTTTCCTTGTTATTGATTTTCGGTTTGTTGAAATTATAATTAAAATTCAATGCATTGTAAGTTAGCATTACCAGATTTTTATAGTGAAAAGCACCAGTGGGTTTAGGGGGGGGGGGGGGGGGTGGTGGGCAGAGGGGCGGATGCCCTTTCCCCGCCTCAGGAGTTCGACCACCTGCCGACCCAAAGGGATGATATCCATTTTTGGTGACGGACCCTAAAATTTTTCTAAAGGCGCCAATATATGCTAACTTTGAGGGGGAAGCGCGCGCCGAAAAATCGCAAACTTTTTTTGGTCAAATTTTTCCGAAAATAACATAAAAACGACTTTTTTGGCCCGATTTTTTTTCTCAAAATTTTGCCTGTGGCGCAAAAAATTTGGTCAAAATGGTGTCTTTATAGTGATTTGAGAGCTCAGAAAATCAATTTGGTCGACCTAAAAAAAGGTCGATAAAATTTTCGAAATTTTTTGAAAATCCCCCCCCCCCCCCCCATGAAGCATTGAAAATTCAATAAAAATTGATTCCTATCCATAAAATTTGCGTACGCGCAATTTTTGGCCTTTTTAAGCAGTTTTTTTATTCCGACCAACCCTTGAAGAGACGAGAAGGCACTATAGCGTAGGTCGAGTTCTTAGCGCCCGCAATTAATCTCTTCAAAACAAAGCCGGGGATCGTACAGGGTCAAAAAATAAATTCTCTGTAGCAGTTACAAAACTAGATGTATACTGCAAGCTTCAGCGAAAATTGAGAAAGCGCAGTGTCAAATGAGCTATCAAACTAAAACTTGTACAGTCTTGACTCGTATTGAAAAAGTATTCAGGGTTAAAAATGGCGATAGAAGTTCGCCCGAACGTTTCTATTGTTTAAAGCAAAGAGAAGCCGCGGAGAAGCTTAAAGTTTTGTTTGCTTTTCATCGCTTGTCCACTCAACCAATACCAGAATAATGACTGCTTTTTCTAACAAAATGACATGCGGGGTCATCGAGGTTATGATTTTATGTATCAACTTTCATAGTCACAATCACTTCAGAGCAAATTTTGAACAAAGTCCAATACAAAACCTGAAAATGGCTTTAAACAAAGTCTGAACATTGTTCCCAGATATTGTGAACAATAACGTGAAAGTCCGATGATTGTTTCAAACGATGCCAAAATTTGACATTTCAGGATTGATGGTATCTAAAACTCAAGGTTTGCAAGTCACAAACCGAAAAGCTTCGCAATGATTGTCACCTTTCAGAAAATTTGGTAGGCAATCAAATAAAATATAAAATAACTCAAAAACTAAGACATTGGGACGCGCCTACTCTTTTGATACAAACAAAATTTTGACTACAAAAACTAAAATTAATTTTGTTTTCTGAGAGAGCGTTGTCTTTTTAGGCGTTGCCCGAAAGAGGTACAACTCTCTCTGTGTCTGCCCTGGAAAAAAATTCTTTTCGAAACATATGCGAAAAATTGTTAGACCACTGTTCAATCAATGATCAATGTTTTCTAAATACCAATAAAATCAGAAAAAATTGGAACGGAAAAAACATGAAATAGTATGTTAAACAAGTATCAGACAACGAATTCTTGCAACGAGGAAAACTTGGCTTTTACCAAAACATACGTCCTGCGCGGATTCCAACCACGGACTTTTGATTACGCATGCATGTGCGTTACCGTATGTTGAAAAAATGGCCTTTTTTTTAAATTTTTGTTTAGTCTGTGCATTTGAAAACGAAAAAACAATTGTTTTAAAAACAATTGCCTGTTATTTTGGATTGTTTAGCTGACAAACTCAACCTGAACTACGTTATAGACTCAAAAGTTTAAATTTGGCATGCAATTTTTTTTTCGTAAAGTGTATATTTAAGCACAGAATCAAGTGCGCAACCAAAACAGGGGTGAAAAATTTTCACCTCAAATGTTATTCTTTCTATAGATAAATATTGTATCATACAAATTTCATGTATGAAATTGCTGAAAAAAGTATTTTTCTGATTAATTTTTTTAGTGCCAAATTTTTTTCATGAAGGATATGTTTCTTTTTGCAGAATCAAGTTTGCAACCAAAACAGGGCTGAAAAAATTTCACCTCAAGATGTATTTTTTTAAAGAAAAATGATTATCATACAATTTTCATGTATGAAATTGTTCTATAAGCAATTTTCTAACTATTTTTTGGTGCCAAAACTGCTCTCGCTTCAGCAAAAGTACCATCACTTTGTTTTGTTAGAGTTTTAAGCCAAAATAATTTAAAAACCTAATATGATTGTCATACAATTTTGTTCTATTAAAATTGTACAATAATCATTTTTCCCCGGCCCAATAGATGAAATTGATTTTATATAAGTTGTTGTCTTGTATGGACGTCAACCCGGGTTGTCAAATGATTCAAAAGATTTTTTTAAACCAGTTATTAACCTAAAAAACCACTCTTTTTATCCGATATGATAACGCAAGAAAAACCGTTTGCCCACCGTAAACTGTTTCATAGTCATTCGCAGAAAAACCGTTGGCCCACCATTTTATTTTCTAAAATCAACAAAACAATTTTTTATAAATATACAAAAAATACGTCCTGCGCGGATTCGAACCATGGACAATTGATTTTGCATGCATGTGCATTGCCACTATGCCACATGTGTGGTTTTTTTTCAACTTTGTTAGCGAATCGAGGTTCCGGGTTGACAAACAATGCTTGTCATACAATTTCAGACTCTGAAAATATGCTTTAAAATAATTTGAAATATTTTCATGGACTGAAAAAACTGTATGTAAAGAGCAAAAAAGTTTCCTTTCCATTCAGAAAAAAATTATAAACAAAGTCTTTCTTACCAATTTCTGGAAATAAATTACAAATTTTTTGCCCTCTCCTTTCGCATAAAAAATGAATGAAAGTAACAGAAGCAGTTTTTTTTCTGTGAAATTGCATGATAAGCAGTACTATTCATAACCGTACTATGAAATTGGACGATAATCCTTTTTTTGTATAAAAGCAAATACAAAAAAATGTGTTTTTACCGAAAGTGTAATGGGCAGTTACTTTGCAGACAAACTGCATTTTGTGCTATTAGTCTTGTTGGTTAATGTTATGAAGTTTACACAAGGTCATATACCAAAAACCTAACTTTCTGTATATGACTTAAAAATTTTAATTTCTAAAAACTCAGTGGTTAAGAAAAGAGGCCCCTTTTTATTCGTAAATTTTTGTTTATCTCAAGATATGAAAACGAAAAAAGAAAGTGTTAACGAAACAGTTGCCTGTTATTTATGAATTGTTAGGTAAAAAACTCAACTAGGACTAAGTTATAAACACAATAAGCCAATGTTGGAATGCAATCTTCTTTCGAAAATTTATATTTGAGCACAAAAACAAGTTTGCAATGATAAGAGGGAATAAAATTTTTAATTCACAAATGCATGAAATTGTATGATAAGCGTTATTTTGTTTTGAACATTTTTTGATGCCAAAGTTGCTTTTCTTAAACCAAAGCTGCCATCAATTTCATGGTTAGTCTTAAGCTAATTTAAATTAGTTTTCGAAAAAAAACTTAAAACCCTTGTCATACAATGTTTTTCAATGAAAAATGTACGATAAGCATTTTTTTCTCGGACCCCATTTATGAAATTGTATTATAGACTTTTATCTTGTACGGACGTCAACACGGGTTGTCAAAAGACTCAAGTGATTTTGTTAAAACAGTTATTAACCTAAAAATAATCTTTATTCTGGTATAGAAAAATATTGTATTACACAATTTTCATGAATGAAATTGCTGAATAAGTATTTTTCTGATTAATTTTTTTGATGCCAAATTTTTTTCATGAAGGGTATGCTTAAGCACAGAATCAAGTTTGCAACCAAAACAGGGCTGAAAAAATTTCACCTCAAGATGTGCTTTTTTTTTATAGAAAAATGAGTATCATACAATTATCATGTATGAAATTGTTGCATAAGCATTTTTGTAACTATTTTTGGTGCCAAATTTGCTCTCGTTTAAGCAAAAGTACCATCACTTTGTTTTGTTAGAACTTTAAGCCAAAAAAATTTAAAAACCTAATATGATTGTCATACAATTTTTTTCTATTAAAATTGTACAACAATCATTTTTCTCTGGCCCAATAGATGAAACTGATTTTTATAAGTTGTTCTCTTGTATGGACGTCAAATCGGGATGTCAAATGATTGAAAAGATTTTTTAAACCAGTAATAAACCTAAAAACCACTCTTTTTTCCGATATGATAACACAAGAAAAACCGTTTGCCCACCGTAATCTGTTTCATAAACTGTTTCATAGTCATTCGCAGAAAAACCGTTGGCCCACTATTTTTTTTTTCTAAAATCAACAAAATTTTTTTTTATAAATAAACAAAAAATACGTCCTGCGCGGATTCGAACCATGGACTTTTGATTTTGCATGCATGTGCATTGCCACTATGCCACATTTGTGGTTTTTTCAACTTTGATAGCGAATCGAGGTCCGGGTTGACAAACAATGCTTCTCATACATTTTCAGACTCTGAAAAATTGCTTTATAATAATTTCAAATATTTTCATGGACTGAAAAAATTGTATGTAAAGAGCAAAAAAATTTACTTTCCATTCAGAAAAAAATTATAAACAAAGTCTTCTTTTTTACCAATTTCTGGAAATAAATGTTTTGCCCACTGCTTTCGCATAAAAAATGAATGAAAGTAGCAGAAGCAGTTTTTTTCTGTGAAATTGCATGATAGGCAGTTTTACCGTACTATGAAATTGGATGATAACCCTTTTTTGTATAAAAGCAAACACAAAAAAATGTGATTTTTCCGAGAGTGTAACGGGCAGTTACTTTGCGGACAAACTGCATTTTGTGCTGTTAGTCTTGTTGATTAATGTTATGAATTTCACACAAATCATATACCAAAAACCTAACTTTCTGTATATGACTTAAAAATTTTAATTTTTAAAAGTTCAGTGGTTAAGAAAAGAGGCCCCTTTTTATTCACTAATTTTTGTTTATCTCAAGATATGAAAACAAAAAAAGAAAGTGTTAACGAAACAGTTGCCTGTTATATATGAATTGTTAGGTAAAAAACTCAACTAGGACTAAGTTATAAACACAAAAAGCCAATTTTGGAATGCAATTTTTTTCGAAAATGTATATTTGAGCACAAAAACAAGTTTGCAATGATAAGAGGGAATAAAACTTTTAATTCAAAAATGTATGAAATTGTATGATAAGCATTATTTTGTTTCGAACATTTTTTTGATGCCAAAGTTTCTTTTCTTTAACCAAAGCTGCCATCAATTCCATGGTTAGTCCGAAGCCAATTTAAATTAATTTTCGAAAAAAAAACTTAAAACCCTTGTCATACAATGTTTTTCAATGAAAAATATACGATAAGCATTTTTTCTTTGAACCAAGGAAAATCTTTATGAAATTGTATTATAGACTTATATCTTGTACGGACGTCAACACGGGTTGTCAAAAGACTCAAGTGGTTTTGTTAAACCAGTTATTAACTTTATAATAATCTTTATTCCGATATGATAACGCAAGAGTTGAAATAACCATTCGCTGATAAAATGTTTTCCAATTGTTTTTGTTCTAAAATCAATGTTGATAATACTCTTGTAAGATCTTGTAAGATAAACATTCATGTCTAGCAAGGAAAACATTTTTGTTGGAATCTTTTGTTTCGAGTTTGGCTAGGGATTTTATCGCAGCTACTCAACCTCGCCTCATGTCCTTGTTAACTCATTGGAAGTAAATGTGATCAAATTAATGATTTTCTCAATCAATTTTTTTGTATTTTTTAATGCGCGTCGGCAGCCGATTATTCTACTTATTGTTTTATTAGTTTAATTCCGTTTTTACCCAAAAAGCCTACTTTCGGAGCGATTTTGAGCGGTACAGTGTTTTAGGTATTTGTTTGTGGAATCCAAAACAGCGAAGAAGATCAAAGAAAAGTCGCAAAGTTGCGGATTCCGCGACAAATCTGATTTTGGCGTGTTGCGGAATCCGTTAACAATGCACAGAATGCACAGTTTGGCCTCCTAATGTTCTTGCTAGATTAGCCGGTTGGCTCCGTGTGCAAATAGAGCAGAATGTTTCAACCTGAATTACTTTTGATAAACGAAAAGACCCCCCAAATTATGTGCTTAATAAATTTATTCAAAGCCCTTTTATTAAAAATAATCATTCAAATTGCATCGCATAATTGAAAATGCCATTTTATTCAGTCTTGTGGCTACGAAACTGTAAAACCGAATTCAAAAACGTATGTTTTTTGCTCATTTTTTATATTAAATTTGAAAAAGTACATAGAAAGAACATATGAAAAATTAAAAGACTTCATATGAGCAGTAAAAGTATATCTTACATAAGTTAAACCACACTTCTGATTGATCTGCTACTTAAATGTTCTATATTTGAGTTAATTTTTTATTGCTTGATGTGATTGTACAGCTGAATTAATCTGATAGAATGCTGACTTCTAGAGCCCAACAAAGGCCCCCTATGCTATCCATGTCCATGCCTCCTGTTCAATCCGGCTCGATGCTTTCACCCGTCGACCAAACGACCTCCTCAGACCTCAATTCAACACTATTCAACCGTGAACACTTTATTAAGTACATAAAAAGGGGCACTTTTCTCGAAAGTTCAACTAGACGATTAAATGGATCGGGAGAAGCAATGCACAAAACAACTGAACAATTGATGACATTTTTGAAGGACATTTGTGGCGAGTTTCAAAAGTGCAATACTATTATGGACCTCTTCATTAATGGCGTGCAACAATTGCATCAGAATATTCAGATGATCATGTCCGCTTTTTTGAAGCTGGAAATTGCTCGTAAGTATATTTTTGGGCGCGTAGCCTACTTGAATTCAGCGCTTAAGAAATTCGTGGGTTTTGCGCTGAATGTCTTGACTTTTTTGTCCGTTACGTGCACGGTGAGGGGTGGTTGTAATTGCAAAAAATGAGGGTTCCCCGGGTCGAGTGACATTATCACTTTTTCGGCCAAAAATCGGTATGATTCGACGATCTCGGCCAATGTCTGGTTGTTTCGACTTTCTCGGCCCAACAAAACCATGTTCGACTTTGTTCGACTTTGTTCGACCCAGTTAATATATGTTTCGGTTTGCTTGACCAAAACTTGACTTTTTCGGCCGAGATCGATTTCTTGACTGTCTCGACCAAAATTTCTTAAAATATTTATTTGTTCGCCCCGCATCGAAATGTTTCGCCTTTCTCGACCAAAAAATGGGTATGCTTCGACTTTCTCGACAAACAAAATAATTCAAACGTTTATTCGACTGTTGTTACATTTCAGCAACTTTATCCGATGAGATCAAATCACTTCAGAAATCCCTGATTGACGACTCGCGCGGTAACAGTGGCGAGTCGCTCTCAATCATGAACCAAACCAAACTGGCTCTGAATTACACCAAAGACGCCAACTCACAATGTACAAACGTCATAACCGACTTCGTAAAAGTTCTTGACCACTCTATGAAATCGAAATACACAGAAGCCGATGTTTTGGAACTGGTACAGGGTTGCAAAGAATTCGAAAAGAAGTTCTTCCGGGAGGTTTCTAGCTTGGAGCAACTGTGTGTGTACTCGCACGACGCGACGGAAGAAGTTAAGGAGTACATAACTGACCATAAATGGAAAGAGCATGATATGGTGAAACATGCCATATCGGAGTCGAGAGTGAAGATAAGAGAACTGAAGAACGCAGCTGACAGGTGGGTTGAAACTAAGTTGAACAGATTTTTATTTCAACACAAGTAGAAAAATGGCGAAAAGAATTTTTTATGAATCATTCGTTGGCCATTATTTTATCGCAAAATTTTTTTTCGAAAACAGATATTCGTTCTGCAGCAAAATTAGAGTCATAATGTCAGACGCCTATTAAAACCAGTACTTGTTTATGTCACATATTGAGTTCTTTTTCAAAATCTGGGTTGAGCTGGATAAACTGAAAAACCTAGTCAATTGCTTCCATACAATTTTTTTCTCAGAAACACTATTGTTTAAGTTCTGATTTACAGTTTTAACATCAGGTTTTTTTCAAAACAGTGTATTTCTATAATGCTCGAAAATTGATTCTGAAAGCGTAAAAACGATAATTAATTTTAGGCGAACTTTGTGGCATATTTCAGGGCGGCCAAAGCAAGCAGTCACTTTGAGAACCTGCGAAATAGTCTGAACAAAGACATAGAAGCATTAGTAAGTTGTAAGTTGGAACAGAGAACAGAGAAGCACGAGGCGGTTCAGAAGTCTTTGAAGGAACTGAAATTCGCCCAGAGGAGTCTAAAGGAGAGATTTGAAGATACCCAAGAGAACTACCAGGCGGTTGAGAACATGGCTAAGTATATTAAGAATCTGGACCCGTCTGATAGCTGGCCGATTCTCAGGTGATTAAAAAAAACTGAGTACCTAAATATTCAGTGATTCGTATAATTCAAAGAATCTTCAAAATTTCAAAGTTTTCGAGATTTTGAAAACTTTGGAGTGTCTTAGAGATTTCAAAAAATTCAAAGAGTCTTTAAGTTTCAATGATTTCAGCCTGTAGGGTTTCAGGGTTCTTCCATATAGCTTGGAGTGTTTTAAAGATTGCCATTTTTTTCAGAATTCCTGCCAAGTCGAACCAGACTCTCTGCTGCCTGTTACGTGGACCCGTGGATACCATTGCGCACCTGAAGATCAGCTACAAGAAACGCAACCACTCTCGCCACTCTTTGATCCAATACGCCTCGGATAAACTCCTCTCGGACATAATCGAAATCGACAACTTAGCAAAGGCGGGATCTTTTCTAATATAACCAGTAGAGTAATGCAAAAATTAGAATTAATAGCGCATTGCAAAAAGCAAAAAGTGTAGCAAAATAAACGAACAAGAAGAGCAAATGACATTTGGCCCAGGCGTTCCAAGTTTTTGTTGAAGATCGCCTCATTGCTCTTTTTGCTTTCATTACTTAAGGAATTTACTATAATCTTCCTGAAATGTTTCGTTAAACTTAGGATAATATTTTGTGTCTTAACTTGATAAAAAACAATACAAAAATTTAGGACATTAGTTTGAAATAACGACCATTTGCAGTTAACTGCTAGATGTCAATTTGGTCATAACCATTTTTGTTCCAAATGAAAAAATTCAAAGCGGCTTTGGTATTTTTGTTTAACATGCAATTTTAACTGACCTACCCTAAAACTTGCTTAAACCCCTTTGATTTTGCGGGGAGCTATGATTTCGGAAAGGGGGATTGTCCTGACTGTTTATTATGCTTCTTGATACTTAGAAAAAAATTATGTTGAAAAAAGATTTAATGTTGAGTAATGATAGAAAATATCCCTTCAAGGCTGCGACGACAAAGTGGCCGCTGATAGTGTGCATTCCGCAGAAGGAGAAGATAGACGAGGCTAGTGAGAAACACGTGGTCATTAAGCTGAACAGTGACCCTCAGACCAGAAGGTGGTCTACTGAGAAACCAGTTCATGTCAATAGAGAGTACAGTCACAGAAGATACAATCTGAAGGTCAGCTGAATCCTTGCTCATTGTTTCACCCCTTTGTTAACTATTTCGACTTGAAACGACTAATTCACGGGTTGTGTATTCGTACAAGAATACCGTTGTGAGCAAAGAAATCAAAGCTTCTATGTAGCAAAGAAATCAAAGCTTCAAAACTTCTTCTATGCAAAATAACCTGATTTTTTAAAAAAGTAGTTTTTCATGACAGATTATATAAACTTGAGCTTTTGTTACCCCGAAGCTCAGAAATCTTTCAAAATCTCCCAAAGATAAGAAAAAATATTTTTCTCTCGGCTTTTTGGTTAAGATTATTTAATAGCATTTTTGTTCATTCAAGTGTAGAGAGTTGAAAAATTTCGGACAGACAGAATTAACTATAAAGAAAAATCGTACCATTTTGACATATTTTTGCGTGCAATTTTTTTTCGGACCATCTTGAGACGCAAAATCGGACTGAAAAATTAGGTTTTGCATGCAAAATTTTTGCAAAATAGTTCAATTGCTATTTTTAACTAATTTTGTCTGTCCGAATTTTTTTGGTACTAATTATAAAATTTGCGTGACTGCAAAATAACAAATGTGAAGTTGACAACAGATAAATATAGAGAGTTGCAAAAAGTTTGGACAGACAGAATTAATTAAAATGAGCAATCAGTACTTTTCGGCGCTTTTTTGCATGCAAAATCTGTAGCGGAACAACCTTGGTTTTTTTGTCAGACAAAATTCGAAATGCGAGATCATCGATTATCCGATGATTATACTAGCCTAATTTTTAAATACCGCGATGAAAATCCAGTTTTTAGAATAAAACATTTCGACGCTTCGGATGCAATTGCCCGCTGTGGTTATAGGTTTTGAGCGAAACTCGGATCTATTAACAATCCCCCACCCCTATTGTATCTACTAAAAAATCTCCACCCCTGTAAATAGAAACAGTAAATTCGCACTAGAGCATTGTATGTAAATTCGAATTTTGCTGCATTCTGATTGGTCGAAAGTTTAGTGCAAGTAATCTTATTAACGATCTCCTCCCCTTTCTTAAAAGGGGGATTGTTAAGTAGATCCCGTAACTCTGCTTTATGAACTTTCGATGTTATGTTTATTTCAGTTTTTTTTCCGTTGATGTCTAGACAGTTGCTATTTTTACTTAATCCTGTCTGCCCCAACTTTTTGCATCTCTCTATAGGTGAAAATGAGACATACTTTCTGTCTAAAAAATAGTTTTTGAATGCAATACCTGAAATTTGTCTGAAATAGGTCATTTGCTCTTTTTAATTAATTTTGTCAGTCCGAATTTTTTGCTACTAACTAAAATCGATTCAACGAAGCACATATGGGCTTAAAAGTTTGATCATATCTTTTCGAGCCACACCCTGGTTGAAGTCCCATCGTCAATTATTGCTTTTTCTGTAGTATCACAGTGATCGCCATTTTCAGTGCTGATTCATGTATAATTCAGAGTTTTTGCATAGCTAAACCTGCAATATTTTAGAGCTATTTCAGTAATAATTCCGAAAAAAATCAGCGCTTAAAGTTTTGAAATTTCAAATTGTTTTAGTAGCTTTCAAATGAGAGCGTGAGTTAATAACCCTATGACTAGTGTATATCTAAAGCTGCGTGGCTTGGAGGTGGCATACATGTCTAAGCTGAAGATTGCGGGTTCGAACCCCGACAGTTTTCCAGTTTGCTCATTTTGATGGTTTTTTATTGCTGTTTCATTGCTAAAACTTGGCCAGATTAGCGATAATCTATGGACAAAATTTGCTATGATGGCAATGATCACCGATAAGTCATCAATGGCGATCGCTGTTTTTTTTCATTTTTATCGCTAATTTTCAAGTAAACTCAACCCGGGCACTCAATCCAAAATTTTGAGCGAACATCAAAAATTTTAGATCAGGGTTAATATAATGTCAGAAACTGTGAAGTCGGCATCAAATTTTATGAAACTAAACAAAACAATAATATCGAAGGACCCTGATTGGTTAATCTGCGCCTGGATGAAACTTGCTTGTAATTAAAATTAGGAAAAATGAAAGTCATTTTTTTGTGCTGAGTTAAAATTTCAAACGCGTCTGGGTTGAAAAAATTTGTGTTTTTAAACCCAATTCCTGAAACTGCAATTTGAAAAATCCGTAGTTTTTTAGTTATGATACAACATTTATTTTATGCCTCATGACAAAAGTAGTATTACATGTTTTTTGCAGATTTTTATTGGTGCCAAAACGGTTAGTGTTCCAACTTTCGAAGCAAAATAATGGAAAATTTGTGCTCGGGGTGGTTTTTATTTTCTTCTGACAAAATCCGACTTTTTAACTAACCATTTTTGACGGAATTTTTTAAAATATTATTCAAAAGGCATTGTTGTCCTGAGCTTAAATTTGAAAAGATATTTCACCTGTGATCATTTTTCGTTGAGTTATGGGGGTTTGAATATTGCCATTTGGCCGATTTGGGACAATTAACGCGCAATATTAAGCGGAGATTTAATCCGTCTGAGAAATTATTCCAAATTGGTTGAAGGAAGATTATTAGCCATAAAATATTTGTTACTAGGAGCGAAATTTATCATTTTGAATTTTATATGAATTTTTCATTTTATTTTGTTACGTTTAATTTTTTCGTGTATTACTGCTTCATAGACCTTAAAAGGCAGTCAGAACATTCAAGGCTTCGCCCTGATAAGAGCAGTCTTGTTGGTATTCGAACCCAAGTTTTCAATATATTACCGCACTAGATATCTTTAGAAGCATAACTGAAACGGCGGAGCTTAACCAATTCTCTTTCCTATCGTTGAAGGTGATCAGAACAATAAAAACATATAGACTTTTTGGAACTCGTTTGCTATTTGGTATCTGTTGATACAAAAGTAGATAAAAAAGTTGTTTGGAACAAATTGTTACAAGAAATTATTATATATATTTCACATTTTCTTTAAGAGACTGAACAAGCAAAAATGGCCAATTAGCTTCGTTGGCAGCAAACACTTAATTTTTTTTTCAGGGTGTCTATTTCACTGAGGCGAAGATCAACTCATTCTGTTCCATGGCCGTTGTCTACAGTGAGATCGACAGCACTGACAGCAGTCCTCTCGGAACAAACACCCCCGCCACTGCAGAGAACAACAACAACAGAAACAAATTAGTAAACCAATTTATATGACTACTGCGGAAATGGTTGATTTTTTGGTCACATATTTCATGCACGATTCTTTTTTTTCTAATTTTGTAAGCGGCTTTTATAATTTGTTCAGCTTTTCACGTAAATAAGGCAATTTTAGACCTTGCAGCTTGTCCTTCAATTGCGCAAAATAGGTATTCACTTTTCAGTTCATGGAGCGAGTGATGAATTTCCGAAAAACTGAGACAGACGTAGTCCTCACTGATTCTTTCTTGCTCGATCTGGCCTCCCAGTTCCAGGATGACTGGAAGAAGATCCTTATCTACCTCGAGATACCCATTCAGGTAGACCATTCAGATCACAAACAGTAGCGTCGGCAGAAATTCTTCAATGGGGGCGGTTTTTCGAGAAAAAAAAATTTGGAACTTTTGTCCACCTATTTTTTTAGGTCGGCTAATTTGGTTTTCCGAGCTCTCCAAAAATGCTATGAGGGTGCCATTTTTCAGCATTTTTCTGCGCCGCAGGCAAACTTTTGAAAATAAACAGGCTGAAAACGACGTTTTGGGCATCTTTTTAACAAAAATTGCTTTTTTTTTCCGCGCGCTCCCCCGCAAATCTAGTTGCTTTGACGCCGAAGGCGCCATTAGAAAATTAGAAAATTTGTGCGGTTGTTAGGCCAAATTGGATGTCGTAAAAACTTAGCACAGGATGTCGTAAAATTCCCTTTGAAAAATTTGGCAACCAGCAGAATTGCGAAGAAAGCAATCGCCCACTCCACCCCCTGCCCATGCCTCCCTTCGGTGCGCTACTCATCACAACAATAGAGCGCTTTTAAAGATACACGGATTCATGTATGATAGTTGGGCCCAAGAACAAATAGTTGAGGCAAAAAGTCAATATCATATAATTAAAAACGCAATAAGCCGTGTTCATTGGGGCTCATTTTTTTCGTCCACTCACTCATCTATGTGTTTTTGGGATTCATCTATCGTAATTGTACTCACTCATTTAAATTGCCTGGTTCGGGCTTTTCAAATTCTTCATTTGTTTGATGTTCTCTTATTGACCGAGGACTATGATTTTAATGAGTCATTATTTTCAAAAAATATTTAAAAAAAAAGATTTCGTCAATGACTTTTGGGTGATATATATACAAAAGGGGGCAAATTCATGTTAAATGCGTGAATCGTATTTTGTTATCCTTGATCAGTATTTGTAATTTATTTCAAAGCCAAATTTTTTGGCAAAAGAAAGTAAAAAATTTGATTTTTTTGAACAACATTTCGTCTGGCAGGATAATGTATATAAGAAAACTATCTAAGCAGCATGTACAAGTGATTCAAAATAGACCGATGACTATATTATGCTCAAGAGTTCTCGCGCTTAGCATGATTCAGATATTTCTCTAAGTGACGGCCTATTTTAAGATATCACCGATTTTGATCACGCTTAGTCATAACAGATTCCTATGTTAAAATAAAATCCTTCTGTTTCACAGCAAGCTTGGAAAATCAAAGTAATGAGTGGGCGCCGAATCATTTTGACTTTTTCCATGGGAGGAATCTAGGACTTTCCCGAGGGGGATTTAAAAAAATCGAAAATATTGTCGCCTTTTTTTATTTCGACCAAGTTGATCTTCGGAGCTCTCCCGATTCACTATTTTGACCGGTTCCCCCCTTTTTCACTCTAAAGAATTTTACACCATACAATTTCACTCCCTACTTTTTGTTGCCCTAGCAATTTAGTATCACCACATTTTAAAACCATTTCTAGAACTTAATCCAAAATGAAAAGAACACTTACTTCAAAGGGAATTTCAGTGAGCTTCAAAGAAATACAGGAGAAAAATTTCTGCCATTTAAAGCCAGACATTTTCGTGTTACTTAATTCGCGTAAATTTTGAACATACATGACCTTGCCAATAATTTCAATGAATCGTTCCAAAACGAAATGAATTAGCCTTGACAATAACTTCTATGAACCATTCCAAAATGAACCAAAAACAAGCAACAGCTCAATGAAATTTGAATTTTAATATCACGAAAAATAAACAAAAATAAGACAAAATACAGTATAAAGTGACTGTCAGAGATTCATATTTGTGAGAAATTTTACGTCAAATTGTTGTGAATTAGCACAAGCAGTTTTTTAGCGATTGTATTGGTTTAGCAAAAAACCTAATTAAAAAAACACTAACTTGTCGATAAGAGTCCATTTTAGCATGTATAACTAAAATAAAACAAATTTTTTCAATATGATGCGTGCGTTAATTGCAGGGTTAATTTTGGTGTGATAAGAGTTAAAATAAGGAGTATATACAGCATTTATTTTAGAAGTAAAATGACCAGGTTTTAAATGTAAGGTGTTAAGTTGGCTGGTATTAAATTGTAGGACACGATTTTGATCAAGCAACTATTTTGATTTAACGTGTCGCAAGCAAATTGCTGTAAAAACAGGCAAAGAAAGGTATTTTGGGATTTTTTACAGGTTTTAACCAAAAATGTCTACAGCATTTTTTGGCGCGGGCTCCCCCTCAAAACTTGTACATATTTGCTACGAAAGCGCCATTAGAAACTATTAAACCAAAAATTGGATATCATAAAAAGAGTACCAAAGGGGGAACTTTGGGTGGTCAAGGGTTCGAATCTCTGAGAAGAAAGAACGACTGAGTTAGGACTGGAGTGTAACTCATAGAGTAATTTCGGATAGGGTACACCGTCTGCTCGTCACGCTATCTTATTTTCGGCCGGATAGATTCGTGCAACTTCTTAGTCTAATACCGATCCTAATCTTACTCTTATACTATCTAGTCTCAGGTTGTTTAACTAGTCTCTGCTAGGCTCAATAGATCTAGGGTATACTGGTTTATTGCGGCTGCTGAAGTGCTCGGGAGAGTCCAACTAATTTCTAAGTTAAATTCAAATCTCTCTGGTGCTGAAATTACAAGTAACTTCAGCACTTACAAATAAGTGGGTTGTTAGTTAGATGGATCATGATTGGTTAATATTAAATACTTTACATTGGTAAAACATTTAATTTATCCAATCATAAAATATAGTTTAGATCAGGTTCCACCCATCCGGGTTTTACAGAGTTTTTTAGAACAGTTCTTTTGTAGTTCAAGGATGGATGATGGACGTTGGTATTTGGCGAACATCATTTTTCTTTTGTTTCCTTTTGGTTAAGGAAGTTCCAGGGATCTGGAATTGAGGACACAAGACGTTGTGTTCTTCTTGTGACAACGACTGAGTCTCTGCAACAGCATCAATTCTGGTTTCAGAATGGTTGGCTATGTCAGGTTTTTCTGTTCTTCGGAGAGAACTTCTTTTGTGTTTGATCTAGCTCGGGAATGGCGTGGAGATTGTGCGTGGAGGGGATGCCTGGTTACTCGGATCTGTACGTATACTTGAACATCGAGGTGGTCATTGGTCTAGTTCAATGAAGTCCTTTTCTGCGAGGTCAAGTCGTACTCTAAATCCTTTGAGTTGTGATTGTGAGCGGCATATCGATTATAGTTGGTCATTCTCTCTCGAGTGTAGTGAGGTCGTCTTGTCTTTTGATGTTCGTCCTTGGTGTTGTATTCTGATCTATATATTGCATCATGTGATTTTACATTTTATAAAACTTTTATTAATTTAATATTTTTTAATTATGATTTTAGTTAGTTGTTTTCACAAAAGCTTTTTGTTTTAGTTCGGTTATTTTGAAGAGTTACTCACCCTTGAGTAGCTCTTATTAAAAATAAAGGTGTGGTCACAAAGCGTGGATGTAGCACGGTGGGTTAGGCCGGCTATAGAGCATGCTCAGGACGTCCTTTCCTGGTGGGTTAGGCCAGGTGTGGGAGTATGATTTCATGCGGTTTTTATGAGGGGTCCTGTTATGTGACAACATTTTATGTTGGGTTTGTTGTGGTTTTACTTATGTTTTGTTGGTTATGTACTTTTTCCAAAAAGCAAATTGTTTGTGGTATGGGTTTGTCTTTTGACTTTTTTGTGTTTTATTATTTCTTTCTAAGACTTTGTAATAGTCTTCAAAAGAATAAATTATCCAGTTTTAAACTGGGTTAATCCGGTTTGGGTACCGTTGGTTTCCTTTTCTTAGTCATGCTGTTATTTTATGATTTGTGGTATTTAGTAAGCTGCGTTGGTTAGTTTTGTTTAGTATATGATTCCTTTCCAACCGGGTTAAAGGAAAGTTTGAAACTTGTTATTATTTGTTAGAGTTGTTGAGTGTGAAAACTTGAAACTGAAATTCATTATTTTAAACAATTCTTCGTGGGCGAGCTGTGCGAGTGTGGATAGAATTTCTGTGCGAATGAATGAAAATATCAAAAGGTTAGTACTGCAATTGCATTTTATTAATTTACTGCATAGAATTTGGAAATTTACTGCTAGTAATGGGGGAATTTTAAGATACAAATTTTCATCATATGTAGATTTACTGCTTTTAGGGGAAAATTTTATAAATTAATTTACTGCATTGGTATTATATTTATTTAATTGTTGGTGCAAAAGTTAAATAGGGTTTTAAATAGTTTTGAAGAAGTTTGCTATTTTTTATTTTTCTTTTGTGAATTTTTCAGATGATTGAAGATGAAGGCTAAAAATCTAAAGAAAACATGAATAAGGAATGGTGAGTTTTTCAATATTTTAATTAGTTAGTAATATTCATTTAGTTCATACTTACCTGTTAGTCGTCGGGGAAAAAACCGTGGGGGAAGATATCGTGAATTAGTTCTGAAGTTGTTAGTAGTTTAGCTAAGATGCGGATGATATTTTTAGTTTGAAGTAGTGGCCAAAGCAATTGAAGTGCCTTAATAGTGGTTAGTTCTTCAGTGCCTACTGCAAACTCATAAGGTGTGTTTTGGATTAAGTTATATAACTTGTGGTTAAATTTAGTGTTGTGGATGAATTCTAAAATGGGGATTTCTATAGGCTGTACAAACTCGTGCGGGATAAGGAAGGGTCGGGATTCTTCTGCGTTGAAGGTCTTGGTGATGGGGCAGAAAATATACATTTGGGTTATGGGGTCATAATTACGAAGAATACCATGAAGGTTAGTATTTTTAATACAATATGTGAAATTTAGGAAATACGGTGAAGTGTATTTTGAATTGATGAATTGAAAGCGATGGTGTGGTTGTCTAGAGGGTGTGTGGAGGTCAAAGTGATTTTGGATGAAACGATAGTAACTGTATGTATGTGTTTGTTTAGTTCGCAACATAATATCGTGTGAGCAGTGTAAATCTCTTTCGTGTGGTGCAAGGAAATGAAAGGTTAGTGAAAAGATTTGGAAGCGTTCTTTAAAACTTTCGTACGCTTGTGTGCTTGTTAGTGCTTCTGAA